TTGACAACATAGTATTCAAGACACTCCCATAAGCTCTCCGTTCCCATCTTCAGCAGCAAGCGGATAACTCCGATTTCGATGGCACCAGTAACTGTCATATTGTGTATTTGTTTAGCCTTTCCTTCGAGTGTTGAGCGTCGACCAGATTTCCAGGTAACTCCTCGCAGCGCCATTCTCCTCAGACCGTAAAGATCCATCTGTGCCTCTACACTGTTATTTCGCTTCCAAAAGGCCCTCACAACATCCAGCTTGTCATACATCAGTTCACTACCAAGTGGTGCAAAACTGCTGAGTCTATCTGTCTGCTCATTGCTCAGCATACCGGCATCACCTGGAGAAAATACCCAAAGGACGCTAACTACCCGGGACCTCTGAAGTGATGCTTGCCAATCTGCATTGAGCATACTTGTCTCCACAATTATCAACAGCTCTGTGTGTGTGAGTCAGTTACAATCATGGCATGTGTGTACAGCTGATTCTCAAGCCAGTGGCAGGCAGCAGTGACTGCCTCCACTTCCATTCTCAAACTAGACGTTGTGATATGATATGTCGGATTTTGTTGCACTAAGCGACGTCCGTTCGATTTTGCTATGAGCCCCATGCACTTCGTCTGCCCCTCAGCACAGAGCCATCTGTATAGACAATCACATCACCTAGAAGGGAATTGTCATGAATCATTTGTTGAACTTCTGATTCTGCAGCACCAGCTGGCCAGTCCTTGCACTGCCGACCTAAAGTGATAAGAACCCTATACAAGTCTGAAACTTGCTCGGACACTTTGACCAACTTCTCTTCTCGCCCACATTTATCAAGCCTGCACAATGTCCAGTTGTGTCTTCAGCTTGCACCATCCAAGACCAAACTCTCTTCAGTCTATGACCCTTAGATTTACGCAGTACTTCATGCAAGAGATGCTTCTTGTCTGTAGCCCCTCTGCCTTTGCTTGCAGAACTGTGAGCCTATCTGCAATAGTAGGCAGTGCAAGTATATGTTGCATATTTGGTACCTGCGTGTCTTTTGTACATCCCAGAATTCCCCACATGGCTTCATTCAGTAGGCGTTCAAGTTTCATCAGCTGACTCTGATAAGAGAAGCATTCCAAGTCCATAAACTATCACCGACAGTATCAAATGATGGAACATTGTTAACAGCATTCTTTGTTCCATGTCCATTGCTGCCATAATCTTGAGAGCATTGAGTCATTTTTAGCATTTCAAAGCAACTGTCTTCGCATGATCCCTGACGGACAGGCTTCTAATGAAAATGGTACACAGATACCTCGGTTTGTTTTCTCTTTTGGTTTAACTGATATTAACTGTGAGGCTTGGACCATTAGCTCTTTTCTGAACTGAGAACAGCACCCATTTCTGCACACCAGTCAGTCACTTTGTCTACAGTTGCCCATAGCTCTTGGGTTATTCGTTGCCTCTACATCCCCTGCCTATTTGCAAGAACATGATCATTAAATGCCAATATCCTTCCAACACTTGGTGCTTCAAGTTCTGTTATCTTGCTTGTATACACAATGAAGAGCACTAGTGAAATTTCATAACCTTGGGGTAGTCCTGGGACAATATTACATGGTTCTGAGGTCCATATACCCAGGCGAAGGGCAACAATACATGAATGCAGGACAGCTGCTATCCAGTTCACAGTCCAGGGACAAAACACCCTCTCCATGAGCGCAGATATCAAAATATGATATTTAGCTCTATTTTAGGCATCATCAAGATCAATTGCTGCCACTACAATCTCATGTCTATACTGAAACTCCCCATGAACATCAAAAGCAAAATTAGCTGCATTTGAACAGTTATCTTCCGTGGCCGGTAACTACCCAAACTTTTTGGCAGGAGCTCTTCCCTTTCTAAAAGGATTTAAAGTTTAACAGCAATACTCTTCTCTAGCCATCTGCCAAAATTATTTTGTAGGACGCCAATCATGAAACCGCTGAATCTGGAATTATTTTTACCTGATTTTGAAAGTTGTATTACTTACTATGTAACCTAATCCTGGGGTAGGGTGTAGAATGCCAAGCATTATCCATGCATTTTCTCTACTTTTTTTCTGTTGTCCCATACAGAAACCTTTTAAGTTTTGCTTACTTATTTTTATGAGGGGGTGGGATAGAGAACGTGGGGGGGGGTGTAAAAAAAGGGGGGGGGGTATTCCTGCAATTCTTTGTATTGTCCGACAAAAATCCCACAGAACTTCCATGTAGTAGAAATGCTAAATTTTATTAGACAATAGTTGCCTAAATTGTTTTGCCATTTAACTCGGCTACAGACAGTCAACCTCGGTGATCAACTGATTTAGGATTGTGATGGAGTTTAAACAGAGGCCGACCATGCAATGCCACAGACAGATGAAATAATACTCTCTATAAATAAAGCACAAATACACACACTGTTTGGGCTGTTTATAGTTCACATCAACACATCGAGTTACCAGCAGATCCAGATCCATGTGAGCTAACAACACGAAACAAATTGCAATTAGTAACCGATCAGGAGTGCATTGTTCATGGAGCAATGCCTGGTGTAGCTGCTACGGGTTTGCCAGTTATATCCTTATTGGAACTTCAACAGGATAGTTATGGACTAGGACTCTTGGACATTCCCGTAAGCGTTCCGTTCATATCTTGAACAGCAAACGCAGAGTTCCAATTGCAATGCTAGCTGTAGCAGTCTGGTTGCTGTCCCGTCCCGCCTCTTTCCTGAGTGTTGAGCGTCAGCTAGTTCGCTTTCCTTGTCACCCTATACATTCTCTTCAGACCGTGATGATCTGTCTGTGCTTCCATGATGATCTGTCTGTGTTTCCGTGATGATCTCTCTGTGTTTCCGTGATGATCTGTCTGTGTTTCCGTGATGATCTGTCTGTGCTTCCGTGATGATCTCTCTGTGTTTCCGTGATGATCTGTCAGTGCTTCCGTGATGATCTGTCTGTGTTTCCGTGAAGATCTGTCTGTGCTTCCGTGATGATCTGTCTGTACTTCCGTGATGATCTGTCTGTGCTTCCATGATGATCTGTCTGTGTTTCCGTGATGATCTGTCTGTGCTTCCGTGATGATCTGTCTGTGTTTCCGTGATGATCTGTCTGTGCTTCCGTGATGATCTCTCTGTGTTTCCGTGATGATCTGTCTGTGCTTCCGTGATGATCTGTCTGTGTTTCCGTGATGATCTGTCTGTGCTTCCGTGATGATCTCTCTGTGTTTCCGTGATAATCTGTCTGTGCTTCCGTGATGATCTGTCTGTGTTTCCGTGATGATCTGTCTGTGTTTCCGTGATGATCTGTCTGTGCTTCCGTGATGATCTGTCTGTGTTTCCGTGATGATCTGTCTGTGCTTCCGTGATGATCTCTCTGTGTTTCCGTGATGATCTGTCTGTGCTTCCGTGATGATCTGTCTGTGTTTCCGTGATGATCTGTCTGTGCTTCTGTGATGATCTCTCTGTGTTTCCGTGATAATCTGTCTGTGCTTCCGTGATGATCTGTCTGTGCTTCCGTGATGATCTGTCTGTACTTCCGTGATGATCTGTCTGTGCTTCCATGATGATCTGTCTGTGTTTCCGTGATGATCTGTCTGTGCTTCCGTGATGATCTGTCTGTGTTTCCATGATGATCTGTCTGTGTACCGTGGTGATCTGTCTGTGCTTCCGTGATGATCTGTCTGTGTTTCCGTGATGATCTGTCTGTGCTTCTGTGATGATCTCTCTGTGTTTCCGTGATAATCTGTCTGTGCTTCCGTGATGATCTGTCTGTGCTTCCGTGATGATCTGTCTGTACTTCCGTGATGATCTGTCTGTGCTTCCATGATGATCTGTCTGTGTTTCCGTGATGATCTGTCTGTGCTTCCGTGATGATCTGTCTGTGTTTCCATGATGATCTGTCTGTGTACCGTGGTGATCTGTCTGTGCTTCCGTGATGATCTGTCTGTGTTTCCGTGATGATCTGTCTGTGTTTCCGTGATGATCTGTCTGTGTTTCCGTGATGATCTGTCTGTGCTTCCATGATGATCTGTCTGTGTTTCCATGATGATCTGTCTGTGTTTCCATGATGATCTGTCTGTGTTTCCATGATGATCTGTCTGTGCTTCCATGATGATCTGTCTGTGTTTCCATGATGATCTGTCTGTGCTTCCATGATGATCTGTCTGTGCTTCCGTGATGATCTGTCTGTGCTTCCGTGATGATCTGTCTGTGTTTCCGTGATGATCTGTCTGTGCTTCCATGATGATCTGTCTGTGTTTCCATGATGATCTGTCTGTGCTTCCGTGATAATCTGTCTGTGCTTCCGTGATGATCTGTCTGTGTACCGTGGTGATCTGTCTGTGCTTCCATGATGATCTGTCTGTGCTTCCGTGATGATCTGTCTGTTTACCGTGATGATCTGTCTGTGCTTCCATGATGATCTGTCTGTGGTTCCGTGATGATCTGCCTGTGTACCGTGATGATCTGTCTGTGTACCGTGATGTTCTGTCTGTGCTTCCGTGATGATCTCTCTGTGTACCGTGATGATCTCTCTGTGTACCGTGATGATCTGTCTGTGTACCGCGATGGTCTGTCTGTGCTCCCGTGATGATCTCTCTGTGTACCGTGATGATCTGCCTGTGTTCCGTGATGATCTCTCTGTGTTTCCGTGATGATCTGTCTGTTCTTCCAAGATGCTCTATCTCTTCTTCCATGATGATCTCTCTGTGCCTCCGCACTGTTTACTCGCTCCCAAAGGGCTCTTGTAACAAGCGGCTTGGCCTGCACCAGTTTAACACCAAGTGATACAAAGCCAACTCTTCTATCTGCCAGCCGTACCATGGAGAAAATATTTAAAGGACGTTAAACTGGGTATCTAGGATTTTTCTGCTGGTTTGGCATCCTGGGGGCGACTATTCGGGTCACAGGGCAGGTTAAACCTTGAGGTCGCCACCTGGTGGGGAGGGAAGATCGGGGGTGATATAGACTCACAACATGACCCATCTGTGCACATTAAAAGTCAACAAAACTTACCGTCCACTGAGGACACACGTCATTCTGCAACCAGCCCTGGATATCTGTGTATACTTGAGCTGGTCGTGATTTGTCATGCAAGGCTTCACACACGTCACACCACCACTTCCTTCTAGCAGTCAACTCCCCGTAAATGTCCATCTCTGTTGACCAGTCTAAATATTCATTATAGGCGGTCTCATTTTTAGCCAGGTAGTACAGGTAATCCACTAGGTGTTTAATGTCTGTGAAATCATTGACATGTATGAACGAATGGGGTGGAGCTATCTTTGTATAGTCTTCCGTAGAAGCGCCGCCCAAAACTACCGGCACCTGTCGTCTCAACAAGGCGGTCCAGAACTTTTCTGTGATGTAATCTCGGCAGTTGCTGTTTTCAAAAGTGAAGAAAAATTTATAATTGGAGATTGTTTCAAAGCAGATTGTGTCTGGGCATTGCTTGTCACCACATTTTCCATACAAGTCCATATCTTTTCCTAGGCGATCCTGAAGAAGAGATGCAGAAGATTTGTAAGAAACTGGTAACGAATTCAGGGCCAGATCCGCTCATTTACACACTAGTATACCTTTCACTGATGCTTGGCCAGGATTGGTCCACATTGCTCAAGGTTAAAGGGATTTCTTGGTTTGTTGCTGTAGATTTCACTCTCTCGTGGGACCTAGGTTCTGTGTGTGGGGGAGGAGGTTGGGGTTAGGGCCAGTTGTACTTGCTATGGTGTCGTTAAAGGCGCTCACATTCTGTAATATAGAGCACATGTGTTTGCCGGTAGGAGCGTCGACCAAGCTGACGTCCCTTATAATTGCGCGCCTCATATGTTAAGGCGGAGACTGAACATCCAATCACAGTGTCCTGGCCGGACTACGTCAGTCATAAGTGTTTAAGGGGTCACTACACGGCATTTTTTCCAATTTATGACAAAAATATCACTTTTTCAATGTGTTCGTTTTTGTAAAGTTCAGCATTCGTAGAATAGACGACACACACAATTTTTGTCATTTCTAAACAATTTAGCATTGAAAAGTTAATACTAACGACACCACCTCGTGCACTTTTTTAGGATAAAAAAAGTTTAAAAGTCAGTTTTCACAAATATCTATATTTCAGTTTTCTGTGTGTGTGAAATCCTAAAATCTAAGCTAATATAAAGAGTAGAAACATGAAACTTTGTATGCATACTCCATGAACAATATGCTAGGGACTGGTCTATCTAAAAGTAGATTTTAGAAAGTTTTTGTTTTTTAAAATGTGACTATTGTCCTATGATGCTAGATTTTTTTGACTTTTTCAATAAACCTACATTTTAAAATTCTACGAAAAATAGTTAAAATCATGTTTAAAGTAAATAAACTAGACCTGTACCTCTAAATAGGATAGAAAGTCATGAATTCATTATCTATTATTCAATACCTATGTTTGTTTTTAAAATTTTTGGATTCTAAATACATATTGTTTTTTTTCACAAGATGGCGGCTATTGCCATGACAACTATGATTTTTTTTAACACTTAAAGTATACACATGTAATAACATGTATGCCTACAAATGGCCATTATAAAATAACTGCTCAAACTCTGTAAATAAAAAAATAAAATTTTTTGGTGTAGTGACCCCTTAAGTGGGCGAAGCTGGGCTTGAGGTCGTTACAAGTACCCAATGTATTGCAACATGTAACGTCGGAACATGGAAGCTCAGCTACTTTGAGTTGCTTGCTTCTAATATATGAGACCTGTTATCATGTAAGCTATGCAGATGTTTACATGATGAAAAAAAATTTGATTACTCTTACTCCTCGGCTATCCTCTGAATAAAGGTTAGTTGCGTATCCTTTACAGGACGTTGCAGAACCAACCCCAGCGGCCCCTGACTGTTGTGTGGTTTCTCTAGGCAAATTTACGCCCAGTAGTTTGCCATATCCTAAAAAAAACCACCACATATTATGGCGACCAAAAAAAACCACCTTGATAGGGCCTCATTAGGTCTTGTGTTGTAAACATTCAAAAACTTGAACTCCAAAATAATTAGGAACGAAAAAAAAAAGAAAATGATGAAATTTACTACTTGGCGATAATCGAGGCCTTTATATCTGAAACTTGTGGTACAGAAGTTGCAAACAGAGCCCGAAAATCTGCTCTTTGTGACTGTAGCGCCATTGAAATTCGGCTAAATATGATCGGAACAAGGCACGGCTGCTAGTGCTGCATTGGTAACGCAGTTTTCACCGCCCAGAGGGGAGGGGGGGGGTGCTAAACTAGATGGCTGGGACTCACGAGGAAATAAAATGAGGAAGCTGCACGATGCGGTACCTGCTGTTCGTGAGTCCCAGCCATCTAGTCCAGCCCCGCCCCCCCCCCTCCCGCGCTGGGCGTAGCGGCGCGGGGGAAAACTCTCGGTGGCGAGTTTAACTTGGCGGTTTGTTGGCGGAAATATATCCTACTTTTGCTGCGGTATATTCGCCGGAAAGAAGCCCGCAATTTACATGTGATTGAGGCCCTGTCAGGGTGGGGTGTTTTTTTCTTCTTTTGGCCGCCATAAAATGTGACCGTTATTCGGAGGATAGCCTCCTCCTCTTGTAGCCTAAGATAGTTGACTGAATGTCTACAGTTTGCATATAACAGCGAACATCAACGAGGACTAATGGACACATAATGGACATTTAAAATGTTAACAATAATCCTTTCCCATAGTGAGTTTAAATAAGCCGGACACGAACAGATAAAATGCCTCGTCATTTGGAAATCGAAAATGGCAGTCTAAATATCTCGTTGTCCAATCAAAACAAATTAGAAAACCTCCCGCTGAAAACATTGTTTGTGTGATTTTCAGGTACATGTATCCAACCCATCTAGCATAGTGGCTAGAAGCCTCGCCTCCGAGCTGAAGGGGCTAGGTTCTAATCCGCACCGAGTCGTACATTTCCAAAAAAATTTTAGGTTTCCGGCTCGATCGAGCCGAAAATGGGTACCAGACAATGCTATGAGAAGTAAAGGCGGTCGGCGTGACGTTGACCACATCGCCCAATGAGGGCCGATAAGTCTGTGAGTCTAACATTCACATGCCCGATGTGATACTGACGTGAGAAAAGTCCCCAACTCTTACTTGACTGATACATGTTTCCTAGCAAAGTCCCAAGAACTAACCATCTCACACTGACAAGTATGGGAGAAAACTGCGGTAGTTTCGCTAGAAATACGAGAATAGTGTCCCTTGATTTAAAAAAAAAACCTCTTCACAGGCTGTAGGCTCTGGCGGAAAGTCCTGGTTGTTGGTCTATTTTGACTTTCCCTTTGAGCCCGGGCCTGAGTTTTGCGCGTATATCCTTTTTACTGACTTATGTGTGTGCAGTTGATTGTTCCTTGCCGCTCGGGCAGATGCACTCCGACTTCGAAGGAAGTTCCCAGTTAGTCGACTCCTACTACGACATGATTTTTGGGATTCTTGTTTTCCCCACAATGGGACCCCGGAACCCGCACAGGAACAAAAAACTGATTTTGGATGTAATTAGATAGTTAGTTAGTTCGTTAGATAGATAGTTAGTTAGTTAGTTAGTTAGTTAGTTAGTTAGTTAGTTAGTTAGTTAGTTAGTTAGTTAGTTAGTTAGTTAGTTAGTTAGTTAATTAGTTAGTTAGTTAGTTAGTTAGTTAGTTAGTTAGTTAGATAGATAGTTAGTTAGTTAGATAGTTAGTTAGTTCGTTAGTTAGATAGATAGTTAGATAGATAGTTAGTCAGTCAGTCAGTCAGTCAGTCAGTCAGTCAGTCAGTCAGTCAGTCAGTCAGTCAGTCAGTTAGTTAGTTAGTTAGTTAGTTAGTTAGTTAGTTAGTTAGTTAGTTAGTTAGTTAGTAGGATTAACATCTGAAGGATGAGAATAAAAAGGTACAAATTCGGGAACTCCTGTTTATCTGTTTTAAGTGGTTACGAAGTCAACTGTAGTCCAGTGTCGATGAGCCGACTCGTTTAACTGTCATGCTCAGACGGTCCTTAACATCCTGTCTCTGTAGTCGTGCTGGATAACCTCCTGCTCGTCTTTCATTGCTGTTCTCTCCAAACTATTATGGCGTTTAGTATGGCGAAAGAATTGCCGTTAGCGATAAACAATAATACTAGTGAGTCACCAATCTCCCTTACAATTCAAACCTCATAACACAATTCAAGTGAAATAATGTAAATTTAAAAACAAACTTTCAATTCCGCTGTAATTAACTGCCTTCTGTTGTAGTCGTAACAGTTGCTAGACATCCAGGCGGAGAATCTGTTGTTCTCCCTGGCCCAGTTGGGCTTCAAGGACTTGTTAAACTTGAGGCTTGGCGGCATGGGGTAGTGTTTGTATCCGCCGTACACGACCGGAACATCAGAGTCTCTGTGTGGAGGATACGAGAGGTTACTAGTAAACACAAAGGAAGAGGAGGAGAGAAAAAGAAGAAGATGAAGAAGAAGAAGAAGAAGAACCAGAAGAACAAGAAGAACAAGAAGAAGAACAAGATGAAGAACAAGAAGAAGAACAAGAAGAAGAACACGAAGAAGAAGAAGAAGAAGAAGAAGAAGAAGAAGAAGAAGAAGAAGAAGAAGAAGAAGAAGAAGAAGAAGAAGAAGAAGAAGAAGAAGAAGAAGAAGAAGAAGAAGAAGAAGAACAAGAACAAGAATAAGAAGAACAAGAACAAGAAGAAGAAAAAGAAGAACAAGAACAAGAAGAAGAACAAGAACAAGAACAAGGAGAAGAAGAACAAGAACAAGAAGAATGAGAACAAGAAGAACACGAAGAAGAACAAGAAGAAGAACAAGAAAAAAGAGAACAAGAAGAACAAGAACAAGGAGAAGAAGAAGAAGAAGAAGAAGAAGAAGAAGAAGAAGAAGAAGAAGAAGAAGAAGAAGAAGAAGAAGAAGAAGAAGAAGAAGAAGAAGAAGAAGAAGAAGAAGAAGAAGAAGAAGAAGAAGAAGAACAACAACAACAACAACAACAACAACAACAACAACAACACCAACAACAACAAGAGGAAGAAGAAGGAAGAAGAAAAAGAAAGAAGAAAAAGAAGAAAGAAGGAAGACGAAGAAGAAGGAAAAAGAAGAAGAAGATAAAGAAAAAGAAGTAGAAGAACAAGGACAAGAAGAACAAGAAGAAGAAGAGGGAAAAGAAGGAAGAAAAAAAGAAAGAATAAAAAGAAGGAAGAAGAAAAAGAAGGAAGAAGAAGAAGAAGATAAAGAAGAAGAAGATGAAGAAGAAGAAGAAGAAGAAGAAGAAGAAGAAGAAGAAGAAGAAGAAGAAGAAGAAGAAGAAGAAGAAGAAGAAGAAGAAGAAGAAGAAGAAGAAGAAGAGGAGGAGGAGAAGGAGTAAGAACAAGAAGAAAAACAAGAAGAACAAGAACAAGAAGAAGAAGGAAGAAGAGGAAGGAAGAAGAAAAAGAAGGAAGAAGTAGAAGAAGAACAAGAAGGTATCTCCAATTCATTTAATTAATAAAACCTAATTCCAATTTCCTAAACATTGTCTGCGAATCCAAAACTACGACAACATGTGGGGCTGAGATTGGCTCCATCCAACTGAACCCCGCAGTCACCGCCTCAACCTGCGTTCATATACTGGATATTGTAATGTAGCATGCCAAGCTCTCATAAGTCATCGCACTTCCCCATGCGTTTGCAGCGGAGCCTCATCCACTCTTTCTGCATCTGGCCATTGACCCATCAGTATATACTCACAACGCCTGGCTTATGGCTGTCCTCTATCAGCTTCTGAACGTCAGCGTCTGCACGTTCGGTCAACCACGGCAATTATCACTTTATGCAGGTCTTCTCTGTCCTCCTGTATCTGTAGACATTCTTGTGCTCGGCTAATCTCTTTCTTGCTGCAGACCGTAATGATAAGAGAGAGAGAGAGAGAGAGAGAGAGAGAGAGAGAGAGAGAGAGAGAGAGAGTCAAGTTTGAATGAAATACCTTCTATACCAGGCTGTCCAGTTAAACACCCCGGGAAACCTGGCCAAGTTGAGCGGAACTCGAGGCGGCGGCTCCACGTTGTGTAGAATCCAGACCTGACACAGGAACACAGACATAGACAGTGAGGACATTGGCAAATCAGAGGCTAAATGACACTGGGTAAGTTCATCATCGTCAACATCTAAATCATCTATTATAATCTAAATCCAATCCTTATTATCACTAACATCTAAATAACCCTCATTATCACTATAACCGCTTTATTACCGCTCTCATCTTTAATGTCTCTGTGTTAAAATGGCTATGACTGTTCGCTTCATGACGGAAGTGGGCAGAGGCAAAGTAAGGTAGTACTCGGTGCGGAAAATCCCCCCTTCCTCCCCTCCTTTTTTTTTACATTTATAAACACATTTACTCATAATTACTGTTAACACATAATCTAGATGATCCCCTTAGAGCACCACCTGCGTGCGATAAACTGATCTGCTCATCTTGCTGCAGCGCTGCCACAACAACCATATAACTAGATTTATTTAAAACCCAGCTAAGCTGAAAAAAAACCCTAGCAATACAGAGGCAAAGAACACACACACACACAAAACACATGAAAATAAAAAGCCAGATTGTTAAAAAAGTACAAATTTTATAGCTGCGAAGCGAAACATTTGCCCACTTTTATATAATTCTTTTTTTTTAAACCGAGATTTCAAAATTTGAACCCAAGGCGTCAAATAAAAACCCAGATCTGGGGGTAAAAACCTATCATTGGCACATCTGGACAGATCTTATATAAGAACAAGATGACGCCCAGGAAGAAGATGAACCAATGACATTCAAGAAATTATACACCCACGCTGAATGACAATAGCAACTCTACCGATCCAGCTCCCCACCAGGCGTAACGGCAAAAGTGGAAGGTGACGAAGAACATGATGATAATTACCAGGACTAAATGGTAAAGGATGTGATTATTATTATTATTATTATTATTATTATTATTATTATTATTATTATTATTATTATTATTATGACGACGACAAGGTAAATGGGAAAAAACATGAAGATTACAAGGATGCATAATTACAATTATGACGCATACCTGAAAAGGAAGTCTTCTGCTGGGCAAACTATGCCCCCGCCAAAAATTGAACAAAGCTCCGACGTGGAACAAAATGGCGTCACTTTCATCCAGCAATGAACGGTCATTGGTCATTGTACATTTGTTTACCTAGAATAAAGAATACTTTAGCAGTGAGCTTCAAAATTAAGCAAGATCCAAGTCGATCCAGTCTAAAATAGGTGCTTGGTAATGTGTGGGAAGTAAAGACAGCCGGCGATATTTGGCCACATCATCCAGGGGGTGCCGACTGGGCTATACAAGATTGTTTCTTGCAGCTTTTTGGCTACATTTTCTTTACGATCATCATTTACTCAAGAAACGTATTGTTATGCGAGTTTTAATTATTTGACGGTAAAAACCGTACGCCTAAAAACTATTGACGACTCAGATGCGAAAGAACAGTTACTTGATTGGTTGAATCCTAAAGTAGTTTTGTGTGCAGTTTGAACCATTTCACTCATTAAATGATTTTAGTTGGTGAGTCAAGCACTGGCCAGCTAGCTGGTGCTACAGAATCAGAAGTTAACAAATGATCCATGACATTTACCGCCCATGTGATGTGATTATCTTTACAGATGGCTTTGTGTTAAGAGGCTGAGGAAGTACATGGGAGTTTCAAAAAAATCGAATGGATGTCGCTTAGTGCAACAAAGCCTTGCAAATGATATCACAACGTCTAGTTTGAGAATGGAGGCGGAGGCAGTCACTGCTGCCTTTCGCTGGCTTGAGAATCAGCTGTACACACATGTCGTGTTTGTAACGGACTCACCGAGTATGTTAAGAAAGTGGGGACAGGCATGCTCCGTGCAGAGGGGGAAGAGTCGCTTTAGAGGTCCCAGTTTGTTACCGACGTTTAGATATTTTCTCTAGGTCATACTGGTGTGTTGTGAAACGAGCAGACAGACAGACTGGCCGATTCTGCCCCACTTGGTGGTGATTTGACGTATGACAAACTAAATGTTGTGAGGGTCCTCTGGAAGAAAGTGAACAGTGCAGTGGCACAGATAGATAATTACGGTCTGAGCAGAATGGCGCTGCGGGGAGTTAAATGGAGAGATGGCCGATGCTCAACACTTAAGGAAGGGCGAGACGGATATACAATCAGACACCTACTCGTGCCATCGGAATTGTAACTCTTCGCTTGCTGCTGAACATAGAACGGAGATCTTATGGTAGTGTCCCGAGTGCTGTCATGTTGATTCTTGATTCAACATACAACAATCATTAAACTATCCAGATTTTGAAGGTCAAACTTATGACAAAATTATATTTCCTTTAGGAGCTATGACTTTCTTGTGAGAGCAGTGTATATACAGATTATACGCGTTGTCAATGTTATATCGATGTCTGTAGCTTGTTCGTTGTCGACGCGCTCCATTATTCCTAGACATTCATTTGATTCAAGGTTCAGGCGATTTGGCAATAGATTGTTTTACGTCTTTTCGACAATGGTATCGAAACGACAAGACAGAGAGCAATGACAAACTACTGAATGTAAAACTGTCTAGTAAAACCGTGAACAGGCCAAACAAGATCGCCGGGGCTGGTTCTGCAATGGCAGAGGGAATCCAACTCGGCTAACATTATTATGTATTTACTCAACCATTTTTGCTGGTGCAGAAACTCGGACAATGAAAAAGCAATTAGAAAATTGAAACGTCTATGGAGATGTGCACGTTCAGGAGAATATGCACTGGTTCAAAATAATTAATTACAGAGGCTTTTTACAGGAAGTTGCTGAACCAACCCTAGCAACATGTGGCTGTTCTGGTTTTTTTAAGCAAATTTACGCCCAGTTTCCACTGGACGGTCGGCTCTCTATACCACTTTCGAAGCCAACGCAAAGCGCAAGGCCTGTAGCTGAGATCGAACCCGGCACCCCGGCATTACGAAGCGTGTAAAAAGCCATAGACGCTGACATAACTCTCTTTTTAAAACCCGTACTGGAAGGAAAAACTGGGGCTAAAGAAGTAAAAGTTGGATGACGATGCAAGTGGAAAGATCAAGAGATGGTTGAACTACAGAATAAGACCATAGGTCGAATAGGACAAATGATAGATCGTGTTGGAAATCGTTTGCAGGCCACATTTCTTTTTGGAGAAGGCACCCAAATGATTGAGGCACTCAACTGATTAAGGCACTCAGCTGATTGAGGCACTCAACTGATTAAGGCACTCAACTGATTAAGGCACCCAACTGATTAAGGCACCCAACTGACTGAGGCATCCAAATAACTGAGGCAGCTAAATAACTGAGACACCCGATTGATTGAGGCACCCGACTTACTGAGGCACACGACTGAGTGAGACAGCTAAATGATTGAGGCACCTGACTGATTGAGGCACCCAACTGATTGAGGCACCCGACTGACTGAGTCACGCAACAGACTGAGGCACCCCGCTGACTGAAGAATCTGACTGACTGAGGCACGATCTGATTCTGGCACTCGACTAACTGGGGCCCCCAACTGAATGAAGCACCCGACTCATATAGGCACCGGACTGACTGAGGCAACCTACTGATTAAGGCATCCAACCGACTGAGGCAACCTACTGATTAAGGCATCCAACCGACTGAGGCAACCAACTGATCAAGGCATCCAACCGACTGAGGCAACCAACTGATTAAGGCATCCAATCGACTGAGGTACCCAACTGATTAAGGCATCCAACCGACTGAGGAACCAACTGATTAAGGCATCAACCGACCGAGGCAACCAACTGATTAAGGCATCCAACCGACTGAAGCAACCAACTGATTAAGGCATCCAACCGACTGAGGTACCCAACTGATTAAGGCACTCAGATGATCGAGGCACCCAAGAGACTGAGGCACCTAAATGACTGAGGCATCCGTGTTGAGGCACTCGACTGACTGAGGCACCCGACTGAATGAAGCACCCAACTAATTTAAGCATCCGACTTCTTCTTCTTCTTTCGTTCGCCTGAAATAATTTGTCTATATCAGCAATTTTGTCTCTTGAATAAATTTCACTGTTGTTATTAATTCATTCAGTGGTCCATGGATTTTACGTTCCACTGTTGTTCTTTCTGGCCAAAAGGTTTACCTTAATGTGCCAAATTCGGTGAAGTCCTGGAGTACATGCTCTGCTGTCTGGAGCACCTTTCCACAGGTGCACATGGCTGATACGCCTATCTTGAATTTTGTGTACATGTGGTTGCGTATTCGGTTGTGCACTGTTAGAGGCGGAGGATAATGACTTGTTCTGATCTGTCCATAATCGAATAGTCGTCTTGTGCTGGGGATGGTGGTTTCCTGATTGATTTAATGATTCTTTTCTTTTGGTGGTATGTGACTGGTACACCCGGCTGCACTTTTGTCGCACCTTCTCCTGCCAGTTGATCAGCTTTCTCATTTCCAGGCACTCCACAATGTGATGGTATCTATTGCATTACAACTCTTTAGCATCCGACTGATTTAGGCACCCATGGGACTGAGGCACCCGACAGACTGAGGCACCCAACCAACAATGGCACCCGACTGATTAAGGCACCCAGCTGACTGAGGCATCCGACTTACTGAGGCACCAACTGATTCTGGCAACCGACTAATTGGGGCCCCTAGTTGATTGAAGCATTCGACTCATTGAGGCACCCAACTGACTGAGGTACCCGGTTGTTTGAGGAACTCGACTGATTAGGGCAACCAACCAATTAAAGCATACAACTGACTGAGGCACCCAACTGATCAAGGCACCCGAATGATTGATGCACGCAATTGACTGAGGTACCCGACTTATTGAGGCACCCGGCTGACTGAGGAATCCGACTGACTGAGCCATGCAATAGACTGAGGCACTCGACTGATTGAGGAATCCGACTGACTGAGGCACGAACTGATTCTGGCATACGACTAACCGAGGCCCCCAACTGAATGAAGCACCCGACTCATATAGGCACCGGACTGACTGAGGCAACCTACTGATTAAGGCATCCAACCGACTGAGGTACCCAACTGATTAAGGCATCCAACCGACTGAGGCAACCAACTGATTAAGGCATCCAACCGACTGAGGCACCCGACTGATTAAGGCATCCAACCGACTGAGGTACCCAACTGGTTAAGGCATCCAACCGACTGATGTACCCAACTGATTAAGGCATCCAACCGACTGAGGCACCCAACTGATTAAGGCATCCAACCGACTGATGTACCCAACTGATTAAGGCATCCAACCGACTGAGGTACCAAACTGATTAAGGCATGCAACCGACTGAGGTACCCAACTCATTAAGGCATCCAACCGACTGAGGCAACCAACTGATTAAGGCATCCAACCGACTGAGGCACCCAACTGATTAAGGCATCCAAGCGACTGAGGTACCCAACTGATTAAGGCACCCAAATGATCGAGGCAACCAAGAGACTGAGGCACCTCCCGACTGACTGAGGCACCCGACTGAATGAAGAACCCAACTAATTGAAGCATCCGACTGATTTAGGCACCCATGTGACTGAGGCACCCAACCGACTAAGGCACCCGACTGATTAAGGTACTTAGATGACTGAGGCATCCGACTGACTGAGGCACCAACTGATTCTGGCAACCGACTAATTGGGGCTCCCAATTGATTGAAGCACCTGACTCATCGAGGCACCCAACTGACTGAGGTACCCGACTGATTAAGGCAACCAAATGATTAAGGCATCGCACCGACTGAGGCACCCAGCTGATCAAGGCACCCAAATGATTGAGGCACCCAACTGATCGAGGCACTTAAATGTCTGAGGCACCCCAATGATTGAGGCACTCAACTGATTCAGGCACCCAAATTATTACGGCGCCCAAATTACCGAGGCCCCTAAATGTATGAGGCATCCGTGTTTAGTTACCTGACTGACTAAGGCACCTGACTAAGACACCTGACTAAGGCACCCGACTGAATGAAGCATCCAACTGACTGAAGAGCCAAAATGAATAATGCGCCCAAATGATTGAGGCACCTAAATGACTGAGGCATCCGACTGATTAAGACACCCAGCTGATTGAAGCACCCAACTGATTGAGGCATCCAGATGATTGAGGTATCCGACAAAGTAAGGCACCGGACTGATTGAGGCACCCAACTGAATGAGGCCTTGACTGACAGAGGAACCTGACTGATTCACTGCTTGATCACACTACTACATGGCTGGCTCGCTCTTAGCAGTCTTGTGCTCTTCTGAAAAAGTAATACACGTAAAAACAGGGCTAGGTGATGGGGTTTGGGGCCTTAAAACATTACATGTAGTAACAAAACAGATAATGACTGACATAGAAAGAAGTAGAACGACAGAAGAACACAATCATCACCATCAAGTGTCTTACCGACTGGAATGGGCGACCATACCTCTCCGCAATCTGCAACTGTGTGTATCTGTTCGTGTGCTGACACCCTTGATGCCATGACAAAAGACTGTCAAACATCTTCTCACGTTGTCTTCCTCTCTCTTTTTTCACAGATATTTCCAGTGGCCTCAGCATGTTCCATTTTCCCTCTTCTCACAACATGACCCAAAAAAAAGATTACTGTCTCTTAATGATGTTTGTGAGAAGCTGTCTTCGAGCATTCGCCTCTTTCCAAACATCTGCGTTGCTCTTCTGAGCTGCCCAAGGAATTCTAAGGATTCTTCTGTAAAACCAACATCTCTGAAGCCTCAAGATATTGTTCGGCTTGGCTATCATTTTACAGGCTTCACAACCGTATGTTAAAAGTGGCTCTAAATAGCATTCGAGAATTCTTTTCTAAAACTCCAATGACATAGATTTATTGAACAGAATGTTCTTTGTTTTTTAAAATGCAGTTTTGGTCTGTCCTATTCTTTTCTTTATCTCTGTGATGCATCTTCCATCGGATGTTATTCACGTGCCAAGATACTTAAATTTCTGTACTTATCCTGAAAAAACGCCTTTGACTTTTATTATACAATTTGGCAAAAAAATATTCTTGGAAATCCCCATTACTTCTGTCTGCCTATTACTCACACTGAGGCCCATTTTATCACTTTCTACCACCAGCGTATCTATCAGTTCCTGTAGTTTTTTCTGACTTGTTGCTGTCAAGGACACAATAGACAACATACAGATATAGCTAAAGTTACCAGGAATCGAACTATTACTTCTAAATGATGAAGGCACATTGCTATGGAAACAAGTAAACTAAGACCAACTAGGCACCCCTAAAGAAAGGTGTCTTAATTGGCCATGTCTGTCGTACATCTTGAAATCCACTATGGAATACATACAGAATTCTTCTCAAACCATTCAAGTGGCACCACAGGCTACATAAATTTATATTAATCCAGCAACAACAAAACAAAAAAAGTAATTATAAACAGATCGGACCGTAATGCTGTGTCTAGAATACAACGAAAATTTAAGAAAGAGATATGATTGGTCGGCTCCAATGTGTTACATGAAAGTCACATAATTAACAGAGGCAGAGCTCTCTGTGTGTATTTCTGTCATGCTACTTCGTTCTATAAGTGCCAATCAATAAATTATCTGTTTGTTTATTATATATAATGTTTCCTGAAGAAGATGTGGGCCATCTACAGCTTTTTCTGGGGTCGGTCAAGTCAGTTAGTGAAAGTTGCGGGCATCTGTAGTCAAGTTTTTGCATTTGAAATACACGGCATTTTCCCCAGCAGTTGGTCAGTTGGGGAGGAGAACGAACAAGAAGATAATGATGGAAGGGAAAGCAGTAAAGACATTATACATCCACCCTGAATGTCGATCAGCAGTTCTGCCACAGAGCGCTGGGCAGTAAGCTGTTTCTCCTCTCATAGTGCTGAACGCAAAAGTGGAAGTGGGCGATGATGTTGTTGTCGACGATGATGATGATAATGATGATGATAATCATAATGATAATGATTATGATGATGGTAATAATGATGATGACACTGTACCACTAACAATGTTAGTAAGAGCGGTGGGAAAAGAGGTGGGAGGGGGGGGGGGTAAAGGATTTTTTCGCGCTACTGGTGCATCGGACATATGAGGCTAGACTTATAATTGTGCAGTCGAGACCAGTCGGCACTCGTTGGGTGGCTTGGTCAACAGCACACCGGCAGCTTTTACATCCCAATAAACTTGTGGGTACCCACTGAGACTGGATGGACCTGAAACACATTTTTAGGCGGTTTTAAATCTGCTTGGTGTGGATTTGAAACCAAGACCTTCAAACTAGCAGCTGGGCGTCTAGCCACAACACCACTGCCGAGCCCAGAACGATGATCATCGTCGTGAAGTACCTTGCCGAGTGGCGTGCATGATCATGCCTCTCCACAATCTGCAATCTTCAACAGCATGTATTGGTTCGTTCGCTGACCCTTGTCCATGCTATGACAAAAAGCTGTCAGGAATCTTCTCCCGCTGTCTTCTTCGGTCCATTGTTTTCACAGATCATTCTATGGCTACAGCAGGTCCTAGTTTTCACAGATTATTCTATGGCTACAGCAGGTCCTAGTTTTCACAGATCATTCTAGTGGCTACAGCAGGTCCTAGTTTTCACAGATCATTCTAGTGGCTACAGCAGGTCCTAGTTTTCACAGATCATTATATGGCTACAGCAGGTCCTAGTTTTCACAGATCATTCTAGTGGCTACAGCAGGTCCTAGTTTTCACAGATCATTCTAGTGGCCACAGCAGGTCCTAGTTTTCACAGATCATTCTATGGCTACAGCAGGTCCTAGTTTTCACAGATCATTCTATGGCTACAGCAGGTCCTAGTTTTCACAGATCATTCTATGGCTACAGCAGGTCCTAGTTTCCTTATTCTTATAATTTGACCCTCCAAAAAATTATGATTATCTATTTCTGTTTGTGATTTTTTTTTTTTTTTTTTTGATTTTTTTCAGTATCCAGAAGCCATGAGTTGTTAACCCTTAGGGTCGGTATTATGGATATCGCAACATTTCGGCCTTGATTCCATTGTAAATACCGTAAATCTGGGAGAAAATGTGGCTTTCCTGCCCACCCCCGGGAGTGAACCCGGACCACAAGTAGTTCGTCACCCGCTCTCCGCGCAACCCAGTTTAGCCAACTACGCTAGAGAGCCGGGCATGTTGTTTGTGATAAGTTGTCTTTGAGCCCTCGACTCTTTCAAAACCCCTGGGCTGCTTTCGTCATCGTCTTTTTCTTCTTCTTCTTCTTCTTCTTCTTCTTCTTCTTCTTCTTCTTCGTCTTCTTCACCTGCTGCCCAATCAGCCCTAAAACAAAGCAATTGTAAAAACATGCACTGCTAACAACAGACACGTGTACCTTACCTTACATGGTTTGAAGTAAGAGTCATCTGTATTCTCCCAAGATAAATCGCCAAAAAACCCAGTCCATCGTAAAATTCTCTTCGTGTCAGAATTGGGTCTCGTTTCTCTCGCTCCGAACTTATGGACGAAACTACCCCCTTCACCACAGCCATCTTTGGAACACTTCTGCTCCCCTGAAGCAACAAGCAGAAGGAGCAGAACACTGGCGCCAGTACAAAGGAAACCAAACTTAAGAACTTTCCGACATTTTCTGCAGAGCATGCGCGTGCGGAAAGTCGACCAGCGCAGCTGAAACATTACGGGACGCTCTCACTGAAAACTCATGTTGTTTATATTATTCTGAAATCAAAGTATAACAAAGAAGATTAATTAATTATATACTGCTAACCAGTATCATCATCATCATGTGCCCTGCCAACTAGCGTGGGCGCTTATGCGTCTCCACAGATCACGAACCCTGGTTGCCTGGAACAGCTCTCTTAATGATATCCCTCCATGCGATCGTTTCAGTCTATCGAGCATTTTCTCTCTTGGTCTGCCGCAACCCCTTTTTCCACTGATCTTTCCAGTTGTCACGATGTTCTCCAATGTCTCTCTTTTCATTATGTGGCCACAAAACAGTGTTTGTCTCTTTCTTATTATAACCAGTACATAATACACAGAGAAAGTCAGGTGTAATTATAATTACTACGAGGTGGAACCGAAGTAACGTGACCGACAGACGTTAGCCTGTCCCTCCAAGGTATTAGCTTCAAACACATTCTAGATCTTTGTAAATAACCTTACGTTGACCACGTCACCCACCGAGGCCGTCTACACAAATCTGAGCCCAGCATCGTATGCGTTATACTTGACTCGTAGGAAAAGTGTCTTTTGCGTACGTTACTTGTCTTTACCTACTTCAGACACTGGTTTCTTCTGCTTCTTCTTTCCATACGTCCCAGTGGCGTCAAAATAATTGACAATTCTTTATCTGTAGGCTGAATCGAAGTTTAATAACAAAGATTTGCTTAAAGTATGTGTGTGCGCGCGCGTGTGTATATATGCGTGCCCGCGCTCGCGGCAGCTTGTGAACTGCACTAAAAATGGCGAGTGGCTGATTGGTACGGAATGGCGTGCAAGTATGCCGTATTGTCTTTACAACGACAGCTTTCCTAAATGACACGCTGCATCGTCACTGAGCTACAATTCTGGTGTGGCACTGTTAGTGTTGGCAAATCTGATCGCTGCTTTATGCATTTAATGTGCGTATGACCGCTTCAAGATTTTGCTTCAAGATTTCACTAATTTTCTAATGGAATAGTAGGGGAAACTGTATCATTCCCACTGGCATAGAAGAGGAGCAGTTGCGGGGCGGCCCGTCTACAACGAAGCTGGAACTTCGACTATCAAGTAAACTTTCAAACTAATGACTATCGACTAAAGACTAACGATTATAAACTAACGACTATTGACTATAGACTAACGACTATCGGCTATTAACTAACGACTATTCACTAACGACTATCGACTAACGACTATTGGCTATTAACTAACGACTATTAACTAACGACTATCGACTAACGACTATCGGCTATTGGCTAACAACCATTGACTAACGACTATAGACTTTTGACTATCTTCTAACGATTATCTATTGGTTAGTTGCGTATCCTTTACAGGACGTTGCAGAACCAACCCCAACAGCCCCTGGCTGTTGTGTGGTTTTTCTAGGCAAATTTACGTCCAGTAGTTTGCCATTTCTTTCTGGGCGGTCGGCTTTCTTGATACCACTGTTGAAACCAACTCAAGGTGCATGGCCCGCAGTTGGGATCGAACCCGGCATCCCGGCATTACGAAGCGTTCGCATCGACTTAGCCACAGAGCCGACAACGATTATCTACTAACCACTAAAACTAGTTGCGTAGATGCGACGAGCGTACAGATAACCCTGCGACACTGCTGTCCTTATGACTTGGCCGCTACTGGACAGAACCACGGCCAGCTCCAGATTTATAGCTCAAGATGGGTGTGGACAGAACCTATGTCATGAAAGCCATACCTAGGCCAATATGTTTACACAGAATATGCCCTATCAGTCATTTTTCTCTGGTGGAACTGCTGAGGACTAGATTGGAGCACCGACGGATCTGTCCGCAGTGCTGTGATGACAGTTCGCACTAAAAACTAATAACTAATCACTTCTTCTTCTTCTTCTTTTGTCAAAATCTGCTTGTGCCGCTAGGCGTCGCAGTCTGTCAGATGATCGGCAACCGAGCCAGGGCGCGCTCAGTCGCTTCATATGCCGTGATGTTATGAAGTCTCAAGTTGTCCGTGACTCCTTCAATCTATCTTCTTCTTGGTCTTCTCCTGCCTCTTGTTGTTTCGATTTTCATGTTGTATGCTCTTGATGCTGGCATCGTTGGTTCCATTCTCATTAGGTGACCAAACCATTTCATTCTTTGCTTATCAATAAATTTAACGATGGGTATGGTTCCAATAGTTCTTGTAATCACATCGTTTCTCACTCGATCTCTTCTGGTTTTATTCGCAGCCATTCTCAAACATCTCATTTCACAGGTGGTTAGTCTTCTCTCATTTTCTTTTGTTAATGTCCAAGTCTGACATTGATAACCTAATGTCGGTATAAAGATTGTATTTATAATTTGTCTTTTTATCTCAGCTGGGACAGCAGGGTGTTTAAAATTGGGGCAAGTGGTATGCGACATTGTTGGCTTGTTGGATTCTTGCTTCAATCTCTCTGTCTATTTACCATTGGATGTAAAGATACTTCCCAGGTATTTAAATTCTTGCACTTGTTTTAGGCTGTGATCTAGAATCTTTATGTCGATGATCTGTTGCTCTCTACTTATGCTCATGACTTCTGTCTTTTCAATATTGATCTTCATATGATGCTTGAGGCAACTGTCGTGTAGTAGGTTCATGTGGTCTTGCAGCTGTTTACTATCACTGTGAAATATGCATTGATCGTCGGCAAAGAGCAGCTCATTGAAGTCCTCCTGTTTATCGACATCTGTTGGTGTTATGTCTATTTTATTAATATTGTCCATAAATATTATGAAGAGTAAAGGTGATAATACACAACCTTGTCTTACTCCTGATGTTACTGGGAACCAGTCTGTGATGCCAGCTCTTGTTCTAATGGCGCTTTCACTTTGTCTATAAATAGCCCTAACACAATCTAAAATTGTTCCATTTATACCGTAGTTTTCAAGAACTTTCCATAATAAATTTCTGTTTACTCTATCGAAAGCTTTTTCTTGATCTATGAAAGCGATGTTCATTTGATGTCTGTGTAACTAATCACTAGTTACTACTAATCACTTTTCTCCATTAATCACTAATTACTAATCATTAGTTGCATAGTCCCTATTAATCACTAATTACTAATCACTAGTTGCATATTCCTTGTCAATCACTGATAAATGACTGGTTTCATATTCACTATCAATCACTGATTACTAATCACTAGTTTCATTGTCCCCATTAATCACTAATTACTAATCAGTCAATCACTGATTACTAATGACTAGTTGCATATTCCCCATCAGTCAGTAATTACTAATCACTAGTTGCATATTCCCAGTCAATCACTGATTACTAATTACTAGTTGCATATTTCCCGCCAATAACTGATTACTAATCACTAGTTGCATATTTCCAATTAATCACTGATTACTAATCACTAGTTGCATATCTGCTACCACACGTCGCAGCTCAGACAATTGCTGAATAGATTCTATTCGTGACATAAACAAGTTTGCCCAGGATAGAATAGAATGGGGGAACAGACTGAGAGCTCCTGTCATGTTTTTGCGGCACAGCATGATAATGTTGATGATAATCATGAGACGGTTTGTGATAACCGAACATGATACTCTTCCGTCAAAACTGCTTCCTGTTGCCAGGGTGGCGTGTTTATGCGTATCCTAGCAACGGAGCATATGCCGATTAGGAGTCCTATTTTATTATCTCGGCTTGCATGTCCTCGTATTATATTGATTTTTTTTTAACCGTTTCATCCCGGCTACTTCTTTTCTATGTTTTTTAATAGTCTTTATTTCCTAAATCTTATTTTCTGCATTTCTGTTCTTGAAATTTCCGATAGAATGTACACTTTTTTTAAATTAGCAATATAGCAATTTTGGGCTATCCTCTGAAATACGGTCCCAAATTATCGAGGCCGAAAATATACTCTAACAGGGCTTCAGTCACATGTGAATTGCGGACTTTTTTCCGGCGACTATTCCACCACCGCCGAGAAGATCTCCCGGGCTAAACTAGATGGGTGGGAGTCACGAGCAAATAAAATGAAAGAAGCTGCAGGAGATGCGGTAGATGCTGCTTGTTAGTCCCAGCCATTTAGTTTAGCCCTATTTTAAATACTCTCGGCAGTGACTTTAACTCGGCGGAAGCTTTTTCGCGGTATGCTGTGTAGACGCCGGAAGAGGTCCGCAATTTACATGTGACTGAGGCCCTGTTAGGGTATATTTTCGGCCTAGATAATTTGGGACCGTTATTCGGAGGATAGCCGTACATTGTTTAGCGAAGCTAGATCTGTAAAACTAAGGTGTACCGAATCTGTAAAACGAATATGTAAGCAAAACTCATTCTGTCAGCGTTAACTGCTGGTGAGCGAGAAGACGAAGACATGCCTAATGTGCCACTGACGCAAGAACGTTCCTAAATGATTAAATGGAAAGTAAGAAAAGGTTTATACCAAAAGAGAGGAGGTGGGTGGGGGTGGGGTTGGGGTTGGGGGGGGGGGGTTGTAGAGAAGGCGGAAGAAAAGGAAAATACTGTTTTCGTTACAGCTGGCAACCTTGTACAACAGTTCGCTTCCTACTCTATGGGCTGTTGTTGCAGTGCTTCGGATATCCATAGGGGATTGTATCTAGAGCTCAGGAATTCGTACTTTGTGCAAGAGTCTCGGGAAACCAGTACTTTTGCGAAGAGAAAGAGAGAGGGAGAGAGATAGAGAAAGAGGGAGAGGGAGAGAGAGAGAGAGAGAGATAGAGAAAGAGGAAGAGGGAGAGAGCTTTATGGGATAAAACATGGCGCATTGAAGAGTTTTGTCTTGAAACGCAGTTATTATTATTAGTATCCTTCTTCCCCTCCTTTTGCTTCTCCATTTTCTCTTACTCCTACTTCTTTTCCTCTTTTATCTTCTTTTCCTCTTTTATCTTCTTCTTCTTCCTCTTCTTCTTCTTCTTCTTCTTCTTCTTCTTCTTCTTCTTCTTCTTCTTCTTCTTCTTCTTGTACTCCTCCTTCTCATTCTCCTCCTTTTCCTTCTTCTT